CATCTACATCAGGCGGTGCACGTACGCTTTCCGCAGAAACAGAGCCAGTAGCTGCGGGGCAGAGCTCCTCCACAGAAGGTGTTTCAGGCGAGGCCTTCGCAGTAGTGGCAAAGGCAGATGCTGTTCGCAAGACCTATCCAGTATCAGGGGCATCAGAATCGGCAGCAGCTAGCCTTCAGGCTGACTGGATCTGCAGGCATCCATATGTCCGGCTCCCCCATTTGCAGGAGGGAGTGCTACCGCCGCCCATCCGGCTCTCGCCCTCGAATTTTGAGAGCAACAGCGACTCTTCTGTGCCTGAGATCTTGCTTTGTCTTCGCGATTTGTTCATGAGGGAATCGCTCAACCAAAAGGAAGCAACCCTTCTCGTGGGGTACGTTCAGGAACTGGCGATTGCCTCGGCCGCTCGGGAGCGGGCAACCAAACGGATGGACTATGCGTTTCATGGCATGATTAACATCGGGCGGCAGTTTCTAGTCTTAGACGCTATAGTTTCTGCACTGCACGTCTTAGGGGTCCCACCGCTTTCCTGCTCGTGGTGGGAGGCATTCGCCACATGTTTCGACACAGACTATCGGTATGCCGAACCAGGACCCCGCGCCCAAGAGAGTGGCAAGGTAAATGTTGATCTCGCCAATCGTATGTTGGTCGCCATGTCCATCTACAAAACAGGAAACCGGCCAAACCCTGAGGAAATTTTAGATATGAAGCGGACCCTCTTCTTCTCGCCTCATATGGCTTTTTTCTTCAAGAGGCGCAGGTGGGACATATGGAGAACAGATCATGTAATGTTTGAAAAGGAGAATCCAGCTTTTTTCTAATGGTTTTTGAGGCGAAGGCACTCAATTGATTAAGCGCCGCCTACCTAGGCCGCCAGGATATCGCTGCTTTAGCCCCACTTTGTACAGTGGGGCTAAAGCAGCGATATCCTGGCGGCCAATGTTTGTGACTATCGTGTGATTCCTCCATGTGGAGTTCCAAGGGCCAGTCTGCGAGGACTGCAAAGTCTTGGATGCAGATACTCCGGGGAACCCAATTTCTAAAATTGAATACCTGAGGGCTCTTCTGGCCAAAAAAACGAGAACCGTGACTTTGTCACTGTTCTTTGCGGGAGGGCCGGCGCGTGTCGCATATTCCGTACGACCTGCGCTTTAATGTTTCCGTTGGTTTTTGTCCCTGGCAATTGAATCTATTGCCGTTTACTTCCTCCGTACAATGTTTGTACATTGCTCACCATCTGTTTCTTTATTTTCTGCGGGCTAGCACTGTAGTATCGGCGGTAAGGACGGCAGTCCCTATCAGTATGCCAAGTGCAGCGGGGGGGGTACACCTGGCGGCCCATACTGCATCTGTTCAGTGCGCGTTGAACTTTGAACTATGTAGCATCTTCATGCATGTCTATTAAGGGTCGCCTTACACAGTATTACTGCACGCTGTCTGCGCGAGTGCAGTAGCCTTCTTCTCCGTCTGATATGTAGCTCATAAGAAGCCACGCATGCGGTTCCGAAGCAGTCGGCATCGCAAACAATTCGTGGGCCTGTGGTCAGACTCCATCCAGCCTCGCGCGCAGCCAAAGCAGTCTATGAATGGACTCCATCATCCATGCGAAATTCTTGGAGGGGCACATCCTGGAGTCATCGAAACATAAGACTGGGCAAGCAATGACGATGTGCACAAAGCGACCTGTCTCCACCGAAGACCGCGCTGTAATGAAGGCAGGCAGGAAGTTCTGGAGCGACTGCGTCGCCTGTGCAGATTTAGCTGAACTTAAGTTTGTGGTGGTGATGCCTTTGCGAAGTCTTCTGTGTGAGCTGCGAGCTTCTTTCCACAAGCACCAGGGACCTTGGGGTGCCCGTCGTGTTCCCAGTGTAAAGGTTACCTTGGTGAAGTTTGATTTGCAAGGCGGAAAGTGCAGTTGAAAAGAAGCCTTGACTATGCTCCACAGGAAGGGAGCCAGCCCTAGTTTGCTTTTTGTTCCTGACTACAAGTATGGAGTTCTTAATTGTGTGTTAAATTCGAGCTGGAACCCAGCTCGGTTCGTTTGCAGTTGACCATTTATTTTGATAGCCTGGACAGTGCTTANTACCGCTGCGGCTGTGCAGCTGAAACGTTGCACATCACTGCTGCAGTATACGGATGTCATATTTTTAACGTGTTGCCTCTTTAAATTGGAGGTATTAAAACCCGATTTTTTTTACTATTTCCAACCACTTAGGCTAACAGCTCGTACGGTAAAATGTCTTGGTACTGGTAGCTTTGACTTAAATTCTTGTTTCAAGGAGTCTGCAAGGCTGAGGCAGGCGGATGGATGACGGCGATTTCGTTTAAAATTAAATGTCAGTAGGCGTAATGAACATATTGGAAGCAGATCTAAGTTTCAACAGCCGATCTAGATCCATCTGAGGATGAGGCAAACTGCAGAGATGGGATCGTAAGGAGTCATTAGCAAGGCCTGCGACCTTGGTCGGCGCGACAGCGAGTGACCTATTTTTTAGGAACTCTTCCTTCTTTGACCGATCCCCGTGTGACGGTCTCGTCACCTCTGCAAAGCATCAGAAGCGCCTGACACGCTAGTGTGGTTTCTAGTCTTCGGGAGCTGATCGGAGTTTCCACATCTGATCTACTGGGGGTATCTAAAAATAAGCATATCCAAATGTGCGCGTTACAGTAGCACATGGAAGCCTAGAGCGGACGACCCGCTGTGGCCAGCGAAGTGGTGGTTATGGGCATCTGCCTTTATTAGAGGGAAGAGTAGCACTTAGGAAGAGTTTATCTCCGTGAATCAATGCAAGGGGATTTGTTGCTCTATTGATGCGCATCCCAGAGCTAAGAGTCGGTTTGTAGTGGCCCGACGCTTATTTCGTAAGGCGGCTGTGGGTGCTTATTTGGGGTCTAAGGAGGCAAAATATTTCTTCGTGTGCTCAATCCCTTTTCCCGATACATGTCGAAATGGACGTTTGGTTTGACCTTCGTCGGATGAAAAGCCACTGGAAAGTTTTTCGCTACGAAGGATGATTCCCGCATAACTCCCCATGAAAACTCCCTGATCACCCCTTAATACAACCCCTTTTCCACTATCCAATCTGATATTATGCCTGTTGAATATCCAATGCTTGTTGACTCTGCGTGTCAAATTGTTGAAGGGCATGCCTGTACTGTTCCTTCACTAAGGCTTTTGGGTGAGCCCTAGTGAAGCAACTGCATAGTGACCAATCGCAGGACTGGCGAATTCATACCTGACGTTGTGTCTCAGAAACCAAAAGCTCTCCTCTTCAACCACCACGAAGTGGAATATCTTCATGCAGTTCCGTAAAAGAAGGCAATTATGGTGAATATTCACAAATATGAACAATTTGATCCTGAGTTTTTAGTGTTGGTTCAGGTCCTATTAGGTTTATTATAAATGACATAAGGAAGGGACGGAATAGGTATAAGCGATAGATTCGGGTTCGGATTGAATTTTCTATAGGAGTTCAAATATTTCCTCCGTAAAAAACTGTTGGTTGGACCGAACCGGCGGTTTTCCGGTTAACAGCCAAAGGCACTAACCACACCCACATTAAACAAGTGGATCACAGATACTAATAATAATTGAGCAGGAAGGAACTTGAATCCTTAAAGCGTAAAAACTCTAAACGATCTCATGTATGGGCTAAATATTTTTTAACCATACGTCAAGTCGCTTATTTGGAGCAAATCAAGCTGGGAAATGTTTACATTAAAGAAACTTGAAAGGCAATAACCCCCATTAAAAAAATTAATTTCTTTGGTACACAGAAATCGCAACTCCCTTTAAAATAACTGCGACATCTTCACATCGGATTACAAAACAATCAGATAAACAATATTACATTTAGTCTTTTCGGCAAATATGTTTATCTCATTTCGACT